GCTTGGAGTAACCCTGGATTGTAAACTGTCATGATCAAAACATGTTGATACAACAGTAGCTAAGATGGAGAGAAGTCTGTCCATAATAAAGACCTGCTTTGCCTTTTTAACAACACTATCAACAAGGCAGGTCCTACAGGCCCTAGTTTTGTCGCACCTGGACTACTGTTCAGTCGTGTGGTCAGGTGCCACAAAGAGGGACCTCGGAAAATTACAATTGGCTCAGAACAGGGCAGCACAGCTGGCCTTTAAATGTACACAGAGAGTTAACATTAATAATATGCACGTAAATCTCTCATGGCTCAAAGTGGAGGAGAGATTGACTTCATCACTACTTGTTTTTGTAAGAAGTGTTGACATGCTGAATGTACCGAGGTGTCTGTTTAAACTACTAGCACACAGCTCGGACACCCATGCATACCACACAAGACATGCCACCAGAGGTCTCTTCACAATCCCCAAGTCAAGAACAGACTATGGGAGGCGCACAGTACTACGTAGAGCCATGGCTACATGGAACTCTATTCCACATCAGGTGACTGATGCAAGCAGTAGAATCAGATTTAAATAATAATACACCTTATGAAACAGCGGGGACTGTGAAGAGACACACACACACACACACAGGCACACACTATGCACACATGGATTTAGTATTGTAGATATGTGGTAGTGAGTAGTGGCCTGAGGGGACACACTTTATGTTGTGAAAAGTGTTATGAAATGTAATGTCAAGTAATATTTTAAATTGTATATAACTGCCTTAATGTTGCTGGACCCCAGGAAGAGTAGCTGCTGCCATGGGGATCCTTAATAAATACAAATGTTTTGTACACCCAGTGTATTTCTCTGCAGGAAAACATTATAGCATAGGCCTATACAATGTCTGAGCCATGTTTACATATTGATTTCACACACATATTGCACTTTATTTTAGTGTTGTTAATGAGTTAGTGTTTTCATTTAAGAAAATACAAAGTGTTAGTATTCCTGATTGTGCTCTAATCAGGCATTATAAGAGCACAGTCATATATGGAATCAGGATACCAACACTTTGTATTTTCTTAAATACACTAAAATGGACTACAGTAACTGTTGGCATTTCATTTTCCACTGTACCGAAACGTGACAATACGCAATACGTACGGAACCGTGGGTCGGGTGAACCGTTACACCCCTAGACGTAGTACGCAATTTTCGGGAACCACTTTTGGCTTGTGAGATTTACTTTCAGAACTACTGGCTAAGAAGTATACAAAAGTACCAGAGAATCCCTTTAATGGGATGGAGAGATGAAAGAGAGTGATAACAGAAAGCTACATTGCTGCACTGCTATCACACATTTTACAACTCTAGGGACATAGACCTTAAAAGAAAATCACTGAGACCGTCACCCCTGGCTCATGGACTATGGGTCCTACTATTTACTTCTACTCCTGTCTAGTAGTACAAGGCCAACTGTAATCATTTTCACCACACTTAGTTTTCAACAGGCCTATTTGTCAATGGTGTAAGCTGAGGGGATATGGGATACTTATACTAGCTACACATTATCAACATGGCAAAAGCTCCATAGCATATTGATTATCCCTGGACAATATTGCATACTCTGCAGGAAACGTCTGATTCCATTTATAACTGCTATCCCAACTACAAAACTTAAAACCATTTTAATTGTAGGAATCAAACATTTATTCTGATCATTTACAAAAGGGTAAACGGAAAAGAGGACAAAATGCCCATCATTTTTAAGCCATGGGATTAAAGTCCAACACATGATTCTCTAGCGCAAAACAACAATTACCATCACACACAGACATTTTGGGTATACATTTAAGAATATTCTGAAAATTATATTGTACAAAGATTGTGAAATTGTTCCCATCAGCATTCAGTGTTCATCGCTCATCTTTTGATTGTTCTTCCTGCACAGTGACATTGCAGTATATTAAATTCCCTTTACATTTAACATCCTACAAATTCCCGTTACATTATATCAATTTAACCGCTTACAAATTCCCTTTATACACTAGAATGAACTCCTTAGATTCAAAGCTCCCTGAAATAATGGAAATGGTTGCACCCTCTGGCTGGTGTTTTTTTTCTGCTGTATCTCACAGGTTGCACTTGATTTTGGCTTGGAGAATGTAAACAATGCAATTTGCTCCACACTACAATAACACACAGTCCATACAGATACACTATATTGCCTTAAACATGTAGTATGGCAATTCAAACAAAAGTGCAATAATTTCGTAGGATATTTTGTTGTTGTTGCAGTTGATCACAAACTATGCATTATCACAAACTTGAAATCACAGACGAGAGAAAACACTTTTTTGTATTACTAGCCACAATATTCTAGAAAAACAACCTGCTAAAAAATATATAGAACACATTTGACCATTGCTTTTAAATTCACACATGCCTCATTTCCGGTACAGCCACTTTTGTACTCTGACATGTATGAAAAATATCCATGCATTGCAATATGGCCAGACTGTGCTATTCTTTCTACATAAACAGATAATTGTGCATTTATTTGGTCCCTTTTTCAAAATGGCATTTAAAGAAAGTGACAAAAATCATATATCAATTCATTAAAATGTTCATGTAAATAACAAAAAAACATGTAGAGCACATTCAGTATTGTTGCCGTAAAATGAAAGGACATTATAAAATGTATAAAAAAACGATTAGATTTTCAGTGATTCTCTCTCATTAAAGCTGCAATGTAACTTTTTGGTCAACCCGACCAAATCCACATAGAAATGTGAGTTACGGATCTGTCACTCATTGAACGCAAGTTCTGTGTGCTACTTCTATGCTTCCCATTCTTAAGTTTTGTTTTTGAGTGTTTTAGTTTCGGTTTTGGTACACCAGCTTCAAAACACAATATTTTTGGTTATGGAAAATATATTTCCCAGCGGGTTAGATGGTGCAATGACTCTGACGGTTTGTTTTGTCACAAACTGAAATTAGGCGAACTATTTGAATTTTAGCAACCAGGAAATGGTGGAGTGATTTCGGCATATTGCACCTTTACTTACATTTACATTTTAGTCATTTAGCAGACGCTCTTATCCAGAGCGACTTACAGGAGCAATTAGGGTTAAGTGCCTTGCTCAAGGGCACCGACAGATTTTTCACCTAGTCGGCTCGGGGATTAGAACCAGCGACCTTTCGGTTACTGGCACAACGCTCTTACCCACTAAGCTACCTGCCGCCCTTTATCAGTCATTACATCGCAAAATCAAACCAAACTTTGGTCAATACTTTTACAGTGCATTCCCTTTGTTAGGTGAGTATTTCAGTAGCCTTGATTCATATAGAGCCTCAACATTTATTATGCCATAGAGTTGGCTTCCTTGGGATACTAAATACAACTTTGCCAAACATTATTGTATGCTGCCTGTGAAATAACTATTTCAAAAGAGTTGTAACAAGTAATGCTGATTTTCAATAAATACTAAATACTAGTGCATTCGGAAAGTATTCAGACTCCTTGACTTTTTCCACATTTTGTTACTTTACAGCCTTATTCTAAAATGGATTAAATAACCCCCCCCCCCCCTCAATCTACACACAATACCGTATAATGATAAAGCAAAAACAGGTTTCTAGAAATCTTTGCAAATGTATATAAAATAAAAAAACGGAAATACCTTATTTACATAAGTATTCAGACCCTTTGCTATGAGACTCGAAATTGAGCTCAGGTGCATCCTGTTTTCATTAATCATCCTTGATGTTTCTACAACTTGATTGGAGTCCACCTGTGGTAAATTCAATTGACTGGAAATTATTTGGAAAGGTACACACCTGTCTATATAAAAAGGTCCCACAGTTGACAGTGCATGTCAGAGCAAGACCAAGCCATGAGGTCGAAGGAATTGTCCGTAGAGCTCCGAGACAGGATTGTGTCGAGGCACAGATCTGAGGGAGGGTGCCAAAAAAAAAAATCTGCAGCATTGAAGGGCCCCAAGAACACAGTGGCCTCCATCATTCTTAAATGGAAGAAGTTTGGAACCACCAAGACTCTTCCTAGAGCTGGCCACCCGGCCAAACTGAGCAATCTGGGGAGAAGGGCCTTAGTCAGGGAGGTGACCAAGAACCCGATGGTCACTCTGACAGAGCTCCAGATTTCTCTGTGGAGATGGGAGAACCTTCCAGAAGGACAACCATCTCTGCAGCACTCAAACAATCAGGCCTTTACGGTAGAGTGGCCAGACGGAAGCCACTCCTCAGTAAAAGGCACATGACAGCCCGCTTGGAGTTTACCAAAAGGCACTTAAAGGAATCTCAGAACATGAGAAACAAGATTCTCTGGTCTGATGAAACCAAGATTTAACTATTTTGCCTGAATGCCAAGCGTCACGTCTGGAGGAATCCTGGCACCATCCCTACGATGAAGCATGGTGGTGGCAGCAACATGCTGTGCAGATGTTTTTCAGCGACAGGGACTGGGAGACTAGTCAGGATTGATAAAAGATGAACGGAGCAAAGTACAGCGAGATCCTTGATGAAAACCTGCTCCAGAGCACTCAGGAGCTCAGACTGGGGTGAAGGTTCACCTTCCAACAGGACAACGACCCTAAGCACACAGCCAAGACAACACAGGAGTGGCTTTGGGACAAGTCTTTGAATGTCCTTGAGTGGCCCTGCCAGAGGCCGGACTTGAACCCCGATCGAACATCTCTGGAGAGACCTGAAAATAGTTGTGCAGTGACGCTCCCCATCCAACCTGACAGAGCTTGAGAGGATCTGCAGAGAAGAATGTGAGAAACTCCACAAATACAGGTGTGCCAAGCTTGTAGCGTCATACCCAAGAAGAATCGAGGCTGTAATCGCTGCCAAAGGTGCTTCAACAAGTACTGAGTAAAGGGTCTGAATACTTATGTAAATGTGCTATTTCAGTTCTTTATTTTTAATAAATTTGCAAAAATGTCTAAAAACCTGTTTTTGCTTTGTCATTATGGGGTATTGTGTGTAGATTGAGGGGGAAAAAACAATGTAATCAATTTCTGAAGGCACTGTATTTATCGCCCAAAAAAGGTTGACCTCTTCCTAAAATTGCTAAATAAATGTTCAACTTCTATGGCTGCTGAAGAATTGGATCATTATAAGATTTAAAAAAAATTAAATCCAATACACTCTGGTTTCATCATTAAGGCTGTAATTTCCTCAGATGATATCCCGTTTTCAATGTTTCCATCAGGCCACAATCTTAATCGCTTCAGTGGTCATTTCAGAGGAACTTTGTCCCTCCTCTTTGACATCTGGGATCTCTGTGGATACAACTGTGCCCTTTGTGGCAGCAACTCAATTTTCTATAGCTATTGGTTCCACCTGCTCGCTCCCTGCAGTAGGCACCAACTCTATTTCAGCCTCCTCCACTGCAGCACCATTCATCAGTGGTTTAGCATTTTCGGCTGTGTGGCTAACCGATACAGGAGACAAAGAGGTTTGTTCAGGTGATGTGCCTGTTGGACTGCCCTGATCTGCCAGAACCCCATCCATGACTGCCAACTGCTACAGAGGAATGAAAACATTGGAGAAATGTATTCAAGCCACCCGAGAAAGCTTTTACATGTGCCATTAGAAAAATCTATATCCACTTACTCTCTGGAGATCTGTCATTTTCTTCTCACCCTCTGCCTTTTTCTGTGTTATGGTTAGCAGGTGATCCAGAATGGACTGCTTTGGCTGCATGCCCTTGTCAAAATGATTATACATGCCACACCAAAACCTGCCAAATAAATAATGTAATTGGTATTCTATAAAACACAATTCAAATGTTTGAAAAAAAGACTATACAGCTATTGCTCATGTACATTGACAATACATTAATTTGCTCATAGTGGAAAACTCAGGAAACCAATGAGAACTTACTTGAAATTCAATGGCAATGTGCTTGGCCTCAGAACTTCCCTCCCTATTGAGCATTTGTGCAGAGGATTTCTGTACTGATGGCGGTTCTCCCAGAGAAATGGCCAAACGGAGAAGGTCCTCTCATAAAGTCTGAAAATTGAAAGGATAAATTGTTCACGAACAGATTAAAACCTCCAAATCGGAAATGACTATTCCAGAAAAGGAAATCAGATGTCTGCATAGGCACTGCAGTTTATTTCAGGTACTCCTCACCGCATCTCCTCTCGCTCTCTTTGGCAGTTGCCAATGAAGTTTCCAAACTGGCAGGAGTAAATATGGTTGTGGATTTCCAAAAGGTACTTCTCGTTGTACTCAAAGCCACAGGGGTACTGCTCCATGAGATTCCAAAGACATTCAATGAACTGGGTGAATACAGGGGACACCTCCTTGGGATCCCCATCCACATGTCCCACACCAGCAACTCAATATTATATCTGTTATCTTATGACCTATGTACACCATGAAGATCTTATGTTATGACTTATCGTGGTTTTAGCTTGTCTGATAGTTCAGTTGTTTTAGTCTCAAATTTTTGTAATTTAGCAGACACTATTGATGGGACACCAACATGGTTAGATGATTAGCCTTGTTCCAAAAATATTAGATGTTAATACCTTTGCGTGAATTTATGACCCATAGATATCCATTCTTTTTCTATCAAAACCTAAAATAAGAAATAAACAGATTGAGAGTTTAAATAATTAGTGATCAAATTATTATATTTTGTAGACAATAACTGTGCTGTCCAGCACACAGACACTTATATTGCCAAGATACTGTAAGCAAACCACTCTGTTCTCACCATGAGTCCCTTGATGGTCCGATAGAAGGGGTCCAAGAGGATGCTGGCCAGAGAACACACCTGGGCTGTGCGATCCCAGCCATCTGAGCAGTGCACAAGCACACTAGCCTTATCCTCAGCCACAGCCTTAGCAGAGACAAGGGATAGCTCAGAACCAAATCATACATGCTAGATTTAAAAAACTAGATGGACACAAAGCAAAAGTGATAATATTTCGGGTTTTCATACATTTCTTACTCAGGTTATAGGTACTAAATAAGAATGTGTTGCTGTTTATATTGAACAAAGGAGATGGCTACATGGCAGGATGTCTATTACCTTAGCCAGAAACACTCCAGCATCCATCACAGCCTTGATGTGACGCAGCCAACCCGAATTCTCCAGTCCCGTCAAGTAGTCACTCATTGTTGGAGACTTCATTGCACACACTGAAAACAGAAGATGACAACTAAGCACCTTATAAACTTGACTTTGTTGAGCATGAACTTTGCCTGGTCTTTATTCCTTTCATGCTGCAAAATGACTTTTCACATCAGTAAATGATTAATAAGTATAACCAACTACACCCGACGATTATGGTTCATCGTTTTTATGTGAGAGCAATGATAGTAACCTTCCAGAAGCTTCTGCAGACTGTTCCTCATGACATGGATATTCTCGATGCCCACAAACTGAAAGCGGATGTTTGAGTAGTTGTCCTCATTCTCGTATCCCTTCCCTGCTGCTCTATTGGCCATGGCATTCAACTGGAAATAAAGCAATGGTAGGATGGTTTGGATTAGGGTGGGGCAAATGAAACATACAGGGGAAATGAGCAATACAATTATCTGAAAGCGTGTTTATTACCTTAGGCCTGGTATCCACCACATACATGAAGGTGCTTTTGGGATTAGCCCGGCTGATTGCCTGTAGCATCTCCTCATCTTCTACACATCGAGCACTTAACCCGGACAGGGGCTGGCTACAGCGGCAAATGGCAGCCTGGTAGATGAGGGGGAAACCAAAACAGCTTCAACATGAAGTTCAGTTGGAATGCCATTGTAATCATTAACACATACAGTAAGTATAGCATCAGCAGAGATGAGACTGACCCTTGCATTAAATAAGGGAGAGTCTGAACTTACATTACTTTCCTTGTGGTAGTAGGAGAGAGTAGGAATGCGCCCCCTGCTCCTGAATTTGGCACTCCCAAAGACTGTGCTCTTGCTTGCAGTTTTAGGAATGCCCAGTTCTGAGTGATATGTGCTGCAAAGCTAAGCAATCCAACAGAGGGAACAAAACAACGTGTGCATGCATTAGTTGCAAATACCTTTGCTTGTTCAAAAAGCTAATGCAAAACTAAAGAATTGCATGGGGAGGCAAGACAGCATTTGTTTGACAAAAAAACAAATCCAATAAAGTCTGAAAGGCATATGATTGGTTAACTTACCTCATAGTTCTTGTTGAGGTCTGTCATTTCCCAAAACTCATTGGGCAATCCCATTCTTTTGAAATCCATGGCTGAGTCAATAAAGCCCCAGCCATTTCTTCTCTCATCTTCATCTTGTTTTGGGTTGTAAAGAAAAGCATACAACTCTTCCACTTTCCCTATAAAAAAGCCCAATGTTACTGTAGGGAAAAATTGTATAAATATTCACAGTGGATCACAATTTTGTTTTCTCCGAAAGGAAGGAGGGTTGATCTGGAATGCTACTGTAAGTACCTGGTTGGGAGAGTCTGACCAGGGACTGATGAACATTTTGGCAGTCCCTCTCACTGGAAATTACAAAGTGAGCCACATGGAAATTCTTGCAGGAAATGTGAAGTGGGCATCCCATGGCTGTAAGAGGGAGTTTCTCTACTGTAGCTATGAGATGGTGTAACATCTGATGAAGATGAGTGAAACAAAAAAACTATTAATCTTGAGTGCTGGCTTTTAAGTTCCCTACCTCTACCACTTAAATATTGGCAGAAACCCAGATAGGTGTAGGCCTAATCAGTGTGGCACCACCCCTCCTAATAAGGGGCATATAGTTGCTTACACACCAACTTAGCCTACATCCTATCCAGTGCCTTCATATATGTGAACAGTGAAGGTGTACATGGTATGGGAAAGGGCCAAGGGTTGCTTTCATACCAGACACTTACACCCCTTTGGCACTCAACCCTCGCCATGCTCTCTGAACAAGTGTCATACCCAGGTTTCCTTGCGAGTGTTACAGGAGGTCTCCACAAAGATTAGATGGGTTGCTGTTAGATAGAGAGTGCCAATGGCTGGCTTCTTTGCAGTGTATCGATCCAACAATTTCACTTCTTCCACCTGTCATTTCAAATAAAAAGACATTAGGACAGATTGCAGCCCACATGCCATTCTCTGAAAAACAAATGTCAACAGGTGAATGAATGGCTGAGAAATATTTTCCAAGCACTCTTACTAAAGCCAACAGCAGGAAATCCTGGAGACCTAGAGTTCCAACACAGGGGTGCTGACATGCAGGAATGTAACTTTAGTTAGCTAGCTAGCTTACTTGCTGTTGTTTGCAGTGACCGTCAATCTTGTTAGCTAGCTAACAAGCAAACGTTCCTAACTTAACAAAACAATGCCCAAATGACTATAACATTGTTCTGTAGCTAAGTCAGAGAGCAAGCAGATGATTCCGTTAAAAAACGATCCTGGGAAACTTAGCTAGCGAAGTCAGATAATGTTAGCGTAGTTGCTAGCTAACTAACGTTAGTTATTGCCAGTTAGCATCACTAGCTAGCTAGTGGTCACCTACCTTTGGCGTTAAAATGTGCTCCATCGTCCTATGCCGAGAAATGGGTGCTGGTCTAAACAATAATCATTTTTTCAAAGCGCCTTTTTTCTTATTGTCTGTTGCTATTTCCCGAGGAAACTGCACATTGTGTAATTCTGCCTTCCTACCTAGCGCCAGCCTAGAAATAAACTGTTGGTGCGTTCCAGGTCGACTAATTTGTAAGGAACTGTGGACGATGGGTCGATGAGATCCCTACCATATTGTGTTTCTCTATATTTGGACCTTTTAGCAGGGTCCTGTTTCAAGCGAAATGTTACGAAGTTAGTACAATTTTACAGTGTAGCAGTTTTCAAATCCATGTAGCCATGTGTCATTTTTGCTGCAGTAGGAATTGCCTACCACACACATGCATGATTTGGTGTGCCTTTGTACAGCATGTGTATGTGTACAACATGTCTGGACAAATAAAATAAAATCTAATTTTATTGGCCACATGCGCCGAAAACAACAGGTGCAGACATTACAGTGAAATGCTTACTTACAGCCCTTAACCAACAGTGCATTTATTTGTGATGAAAAAGTAGAATAAAACAACTAAAAAGTGTTGAGAAAAAAAGAGCAGAAGTAAAATAAAATAACAGTAGGGGGGCTATATATACAGGGGGGGGGTACCGGTGCAGAGTCAATGTGCGGGGGCACCGGCTAGTTGAGGTAGTTGAAGTAATATGTACATGTGGGTAGAGTTAAAGTGACTATGCATAAATAATTAACAGAGTAGCAGCAGTGTAAAAAGATGGGGTGGGGGGGCAGTGCAAATAGTCCGGGTAGCCATGATTATCTGTTCAGGAGTCTTATGGCTTGGGGGTAGAAGCTGTTGAGAAGTCTTTTGGACCTAGACTTGGCACTCCGGTACCGCTTGCCGTGCGTTAGCAGAGAGAACAGTCTATGACTAGGATGGCTGGAGTCTTTGACAATTTTGAGGGCCTTCCTCTGACACCGCCTGGTATAGAGGTCCTGGATGGCATGAAGCTTGGCCCCAGTGATGTACTGGGCCGTACGCACTACCCTCTGTAGTGCCTTGCGGTCGGAGGCCAAGCAGTTGCCATACCAGGCGGTGATGCAACCAGTCAGGATGCTCTCGATGGTGCAGCTGTAGAATTTTTTGAGGATCTGAGGACCCATGCCAAATCTTTTCAGTCTCCTGAGGGGGAATAGGCTTTGTCGTGCCCTCTTCACGACTGTCTTGGTGTGTTTGGACCATGATAGTTCGTTGGTGATGTGGACACCAAGGAACTTGAAGCTCTCAACCTGTTCCACTACAGCCCCGTCGATGAGAATGGGGGCGTGCTCAGTCCTCTTTTTTTCCCTGTAGTCCACAATCATCTCCTTTGTCTTGGTCACGTTGAGGGAGAGGTTGTTATCCTGGCACCACACGGCCAGGTCTCTGACCTCCTCCATATAGGCTGTCTCATCGTTGTCTGTGATCAGGCCTACCACTGTTGTGTCGTCGGCAAACTTAATGATGGTGTTGGAGTCGTGCCTGGCCATGCAGTCATGGGTGAACAGGGAGTACAGGAGGGGACTGAGCACGCACCCCTGAGGGGCCCCCGTGTTGAGGATCAGTGTGGCAGATGTGTTGTTACCACCTGGGGGCGGCTCGTCAGGAAGTCCAGGATCCAATTGCAGAGGGAGGTGTTTAGTCCCAGGATCCTTAGCTTAGTGATGAGCTTTGAGGGCACTATGGTGTTGAATGCTGAGCTGTAGTCAATGAATAGCATTCTCACGTAGGTGTTCCTCTTGTCCAGGTGGGAAAGGGCAGTGTGGAGTGCAATAGAGATTGCATCATCTGTGGATCTGTTGGGGCGGTATGCAAATTGGAGTGGGTCTAGGGTTTCTGGGATAATGGTGTTGATGTGAGCCATGACCAGCCTTTCAAAGCACTTCATGGCTACAGACGTCAGTGCTACGGGTCGGTAGTCATTTAGGCAGATTATCTTAGAGTCCTTGGGCACGGGGACTATGGTGGTCTGCTTGAAACATGTTGGTATTACAGACTCAGTCAGGGACATGTTGAAAATGTCAGTGAAGACACTTGCCAGTTGGTCAGCACATGCTCGGAGTACACGTCCTGGTAATCCGTCTGGCCCTGTGGCCTTGTGATTGTTGACCTGCTTAAAAGTCTTACTCACATCGGCTACGGAGAGCGTGATCACATAGTCATCCGGAACAGCTGGTGCTCTCATGCATGCTTCAGTGTTGCTTGCCTCGAAGCGAGCATAGAAGTAGTTTAGCTCGTCTGGAAGTCTTGTGTCACTGGGCAGCTCGCGGCTGTGCTTCCCTTTGTAGTCTGTAATAGTATTCAAGCCCTGCCACATCCGACGAGCGTCAGAGCCGGTGTAGTACGATTCAATCTTAGTCCTGTATTGACTCTTTGCCTGTTTGATGGTTCGTCGGAGGGCATAGCGGTATTTCTTATAAGCGTCCGGGTTAGAGTCCCGCTCCTTGAAAGCGACAGCTCTACCCTTTAGCTCAGTGCGGATGTTTCCTGTAATCCATGGCATCAATTGCATGCACTTGCTGAGACTGCCTATTGGCTTAATCAAACACACCCTCATCACTGTTCCATTTTTGTCCATTTGCTCTGATTTTAGCAAGGGTAAAATACCAAAGTTGTGCTGATGTGAGATGTTACTGTACAGCTGCAAGATTGGTACTTTCAATTATATGAAATACAACACTTGATTAAACCATAGGAACCTATTACTCTTGTTTATACTTTTGTTGTCATCTAGATTTTGTTTAAAAAATAATGGAGCCTAAAGCTTGAATTAATTATGTTTAGAAATGGTTATGAATACTTTCATGGAATATCCCTCACTGTATACGCCCCTTTTCAGTACATGACACATACTGACGTCACGCACAGAAGTACTGGACTTTTGGATGCAGAAAGAAAGCCATCACCATCTGCGCCCGTCATGTATAGCCTAGATTTACGTAGTTATTACTTATAAACAAAAAAGCTTTTGGGGTTCTCATACGTTTTGATTATTGCTTGAACAGTTGCTCATATTATATTTGGTTGTGATCTTTGCAAAATACCTATTTTGGATGCAGCAGTTGTTAGTTTGAATGCTAACTAACGCTCATTGACATAGGCTGGAAGCAAAGCTAGCCGAAGAGCCATTATACTGGTTTATTTTTTGTATAATACAGTTTATTTGCGATGATGACACAAACATTATATTAAGTAGGACATTCATACAAATCTTAAAATCCAATTATAATCCAAAAGTAGTGTGAAATGCACTCATAAGCAACATGTAAATGTAGGCTTTTTTCCCTGGCTGTCTATGAGAACTCCCTGCGCAAGCAAATAAGATATGCAAAATATGTTATGCAAGTGATGTATCAAGTAGCCTGTAGTTTTTGAATTTTGTAGGCTTTTTGAATGGTCTTCAATGGGCAAAAACGTAGCGCAATGGCCTTCAGCGCAAAATTTATAAAAAGGCAATTGGCAGAAGTAAATTCATCCACCATTTTTTAAATATATATCTTATATGACCATGTTTTCATGAATTTGATGACATAATCATCAAGTACATTCAAAAGACCAGGGACATGAACACAGAAGTATGAAGTAGGAACACGCCACTTGCCCAGGGTATTGCGCGCATCGCCCTCACTCGGCAATGTTTGCAAACACAGAAAGGGGTCTATAGAGTTTGCCAGCTTGTAGTCCTAAAAAACTGAAATGAGTTAGCATTTTCTACCTCTGGTTAGTTGGCCATTCCTATGGGGGAAGTGATTGGGGATACAGTGGAGAGAACAAGTATTTGATACAATGCCGATTTTGCAGGTTTTCCTACTTACAAAGCATGTAGAGGTCTGTAATTTTTTATCATAGGTACACTTCAACTGTGAGAGACGGAATCTAAAACAAAAATCCAGAAAATCACATTGTATGATTTTTAAGTAATTAATATGCATTTTATTGCATGACATAAGTATTTGATCACCTACCAACCAGTAAGAATTCCGGCTCTCACAGACCTGTTAGTTTTTCTTTAAGAAGCCCTCCTGGTCTCCACTCATTACCTGTATTAACTGCACCTGTTTGAACTCGTTACCTGTATAAAAGACACCTGTCCACACACTCAATCAAACAGACTCCAACCTCTCCACACTGGCCAAGACCAGAGAGCTGTGTAAGGACATCAGGGATAAAATTGTAGACCTGCACAAGGCTGGGATGGGCTACAGGACTATAGGCAAGCAGCTTGGTGAGAAGACAACAACTGTTGGCGCAATTATTAGAAAATTGAAGAAGTTCAAGATGACGGTCAATCACTCTCGGTCTGGGGCTCCATGCAAGATCTCACCTTGTGGGGCATCAATGATCATGAGGAAGGTGAGGAATCAGCCCAGAACTACACGGCAGGACCTGGTCAATGACCTGAAGAGAGCTGGGACCACAGTCTCAAAGAAAGCCATTAGTAACACACTACGCCGTCATGGATTAAAATCCTGCAGCGCACGCAAGGTCCCCCTGCTCAAGCCAGCGCAGGTCCAGGCCCGTCTGAAGTTTGCCAATGACCATCTGGATGATCCAGAGGAGGAATGGGAGAAGGTCATGTGGTCTGATGAGACAAAAATATAGCTTTTTTGGAGGAAGAAGAAGGATGAGTACAACCCCAAGAACACCATCCCAACCGTGAAGCATGGAGGTGGAAACATAATTCTTTGGGGATGCTTTTCTGCAAAGGGGACAGGACGACTGCACCGTATTGAGGGGAGGATGGATGGGGCCATGTATTGCGAGATCTTGGCCAACAACCTCCTTCCCTCAGTAAGAACATTGAAGATGGGTCGTGGCTGGGCCTTCCAGCATGACAACGACCCGAAACACACAGCCAGGGCAACTAAGGAGTGGCTCCGTAAGAAGCATCTCAAGGTCCTGGAGTGGCCTAGCCAGTCTCCAGACCTGAACCCAATAGAAAATCTTTGGAGGGAGCTGAAAGTCTGTATTGCCCAGCGACAGCCCCGAAACCTGAAGGGTCTTAATGGAGATCAAGACCTACAGGAAACGTATGATCTCTGTAATTGCAAACAAAGGTTTCTGTACCAAATATTACGTTCTGCTTTTCTGATGTATCAAATACTTATGTCATGCAATAAAATGCA